GAATAATATAATATAAACACAGATATTAAATATATACCATCAATCATACATGGCATGTATTATTACTCAAGGAATATCAAAGCATAATGAAATATTATAAATCCCACAATAAGGCTACTTGTCAATGAGTTGAACCCGCGATTTTAACATCATAATTGGGGGTGCAACCAATTTAAATTAACGTTTATTTTAATCCAACAAACATTACACTTTAAAAAACGATTTATTTAAGTTTGCACTTCATTTCTTCGTACTTCTAGAGTTTCAAAATATTAGCACTTAATTTCTGTGAAACACACGAACTTTTACATCTTTTTGTAATGTTGGTTTTAATGGCTAACAGAGTCTTCAGCGTCATTGTAAATAGCAGCAGCCAGCATTTCTTTTGGCATATATGAATAAATGAATATTATAAGCACACGTGTAGCCGGTAAAACTTAACTTCAAACTGTCATTGCCAGGCTGTTTTCGCGCCAGTGTTGCCTGGGTGATTTTTGCGGATACTTAATTCTTCGATTGGTAATATTTCCAAGAGAGCACCAAAAATTTAAATATAAAGTAAAACCGAAAAAAAAAAAGTTGAATGATAAATTTGACTTTCTTCTTTGCACTGATATAAAAAAAGTAACATATAATGTGAATGTCAAGAATCGTCTTTAGCGGAATAGCCCTGAAATGAATACATAAATTTAAATACTTTAAATTTCATTGCTGTACAGATAATAAAGGATATAAATAAATTTCTTCAATAGCTGACCTGTGAAATATACTTAATTTTAGGATTATTAAGGATCTGCGAAACGAATTAACACGCACACTACCTTTCATTATAAAAATTTACATTAATTTTGCTGATACACAATGAAGAAAGTCCGGAATTACCCTTTTTGAATTGATAACTTCTTTAGACGCGTTTTTACTGGAGATTAAACTTAAATGATGCGTTTTATATAAGAAGTCAAGCATTGTTACGCTTCAAGTTTGCCAGCATAAACGTGGATCAGTACACCCGTAACAATGCAAAGATCCTTCAACAAAGATTTAAAAAGTACGAGTTTGTCATGAAAATCCATTTTCAGCTAAACTGGAATTCCATGACGTTGCTCTATTGACTGTATTAATTAACTTTGTTTAAAAAATAGTCCGGTTGTGGTAACGGCACGTTTTTCTGGAGAGTGAACTTGAATGAAGGTCACATTCGGGTTTGTAGCACTCATTTGGCTTTTTTCGTCATTGTTGTAAGAATGTTATTACAACCGTAGCAAAATTTGGCGTAAAATGGAACGCCAAACTGGGCTGCAGCTGTTTCCTCTCTTCGGCTGTATTTAAAAATAGTCGGTTCTTAAGTAACTTCTTTGGGCGTGTTTTACTGGAGAGTGAACTGAATAGAAGGTCACGTTTGGAGTTTAACAAGCGCTCCCATTTGGCCATTTAATTTGTTGTGGAGCGTTATTCAGCAATGACAAAATTTGGCGTCGAAAGTCGGTTTTCAGCCAAACTGGAATTTCGTGAAGTTGCTCTATTTATTGAAAAAATTAACTTTGTTTAAAAAGTGAATGCTTTTAACGTATGATTCACTTGAAATATATTATTAAAATCCTAATTTCTACAATGCTTTACATTTTTTACAAATTTTTATGGACTTTCTTGGATTTAAATTCCAAAAAAAAAGTAAGAAAGAAAGAAAGAAAATCCCAACTATTTTCACACACAAGTATATTGTTGTATTATCATCACTTACTCGGCATAGATTAGACTAAGGTGAAATATTGTAAAACTGCATAAATGTTGCTTGAGGAAATTTCGTAATTTAGTATGTTTTATTTTTTCTTTTATTTTATTTATTATTATTATTATTTTGCTTTTTTGCCCATAAAATATTTTTATAAAAAGGCACTTTTCCATTTCAAGGAGCCATAAAAATGCAACGAAAATAATTGCTAATATCACCCACAATGCCAGTATTAATTAATTGTAATAAACCTACCACAAAATTGACCGGTTTGAGGTTTATGGAGGATGTGCAGAAAGACAATTTCTGATACATTACAACTGATAGTTTTCTTTATTTTAAAAAAGTGATTTAGAGGGAAAAACTTTAAGAATATAAGAAAATGCTGTAATGTTACATTTACATTTACATTTTGCATTTTTCTTTATACAGGGAATGCAAGCAAAGGTCTAGGTTTTCTCTCTCATACATAATAATAAAAAGAATTTTTTATATATTAGCTACTAATATCCCCTTGTTTTTATTCACCCAACTAATCCTAGTGTATTACAAAATTTGAGAAGTTATCACTTCTGTTATTGTGGTCATAAGCATGCACACTCTTTTTTTTTTCATCTATCCTTATTTCACTAATTGTATGTATGTGCAAAAAATTTAAACTGTAAAATTTTATTAATTTATTCAGAAACTACCTTATCATCCAATTGATTATCCATATATGTAAAAATATATGCATAGGCCTGAAATGTTAAAAAAAAAATTTACATACGTGCTATTATTTTTATTACAATTTGCAACGATTTTGTTTTAGTTTGAATTAGTTCCAACAAAAACATAATATTCCTTTCATATTTTACTTTTATCAGTATACTATTCCAAAGAGCACTTTCAAAATGTAAGAGGATCTTATATTTTCGAGCATTAATATTTTAAGTGCAACAAGATTTTCAGTTTTTCTATACAGTCTTTTTTTTTTAGTCTTAAACAAAGAAAAATTTTAAACAAAGGACTATTATGCGAGTTGGAAAACTTTCTTAAGATTTTCTCTGAAGATTCTCTGCGTCGAAAACTCACAAAATTGAACGTCAAGTGCATTCCAATTGAGTATTTATTTAAATATATATTTTCGTCTAAGGCTTAAAATCATCAGATTATTTATTTCATGTTTATTTAACCAGAAATACTAGCACATATTATGATTTAGCTCATAAAATATGAAAGAAAAACCACTTATCGAACTTTCAAGTGCTTGGATTTCGGAAGTTTTATTTGATTTATTAAAACATGAAAGAAGTTTCTTCTCTGCAGAGAATTTTTAAGGTATTTGAGAACCATTATGTTCGTTTTATTTTCATTGCTTATATTTTGTTTGCTTGCGCAGCTTAATCATGCATGTAAAATTTGTACCCTTTTACTCAGTTATTTTTGAATTTGGTTCGTTACGTATCATCATTTTAAGAACTAATATTTTTACTTGTAGTAATCTTTCATATTTCATAAAATTCTTTAAAAAAATGCAACCTTATATAAATTGCATTGCAAGTAAATAAGTGTAAACACACCGTTTTCAATCATTTAATTCAAGACATCCAAGTTAAATTTAGAATATTTCTAATATGCTTTGTAATAGAATTACACCCATCTCTTTTTTAACCCTTTAACTGTCAAGTTATTTTGATGATTTGGGTACACAAATTGTCAAATTTTTTTGAACCAAAGAACTTCTAACCTCTAACCTTTGAAGTCTTCAGTAAAGTGCCGCCATCTATTGAATTGAGCACACATGAACTTTTCTCGAGAATCAGTCGGGTTTGACAAAGAGATGAAGCCGTAATAAACGTCTCCCAATATATATTCGGGTAAAAAAATACGATGCGCTCAAAAAAAATTACTCCGAGTAGCACTCGGGCGTTACATTTTCGAGCACTAGTGCTGTGCCCGAGTTTATCTCGGGCGGGACAGTTAAAAGATTGTAACACTATTTCGAAATAACACGGTTCACCAATATACTATTTGACAATAATTTTTTGTTATTGCACGCAAATCTCCTCCCCCAAAAGTTTTCTGGAGTCACAAGAATTTTATAATCCCTTTTTTCTTTATTTTGTTGAGCTTCAACATGGACAAAAGATTTTGTGCCTCTGTATAATTGTGTTTTGTTTTAAAGTGTTTAGTTCGTCGGATGCAATAAATTAGGGTTTGTGAAACCCCGTGTTATATTTTCAATCCCGGAAATTCGGGATTACATTATTCAATCCGCAATCCCGGGATTTGTCCCGGGATTAGATTGGACTATTAATGAAAAATACTTTCGTATAATACAGCGTAATTGAAATTACACAATTTATATAACAGAAAACATAATTAAAAAATTAGTTTAATATTATATACAAAACGAATAAAAAAAAACTGAAAAAAAAATAAATAAAAAACTATTACATAATAAAATTTTTAAAAAATTCTTCATTTCTTGTGTTTCTGTAAAGAGGCTTATGAAAAATACATCTCGTCCAGCGTTTCATCGTTCAAATGGCCTTTAATTTTTATTACAAATTGTCCTGGCGAAGAAACTGCTCGTTCATTACTCTACACTAATAGGTTTTATCGTCAATAATAGGAGTATGTTCTTTCCAGGTTGTCACCTTGCTTCCTTTCATTTTCAAAAAGAGGCATTTCTTTTTGAATTTTTGATGACAGTGTTTTAAAACTAATTGGCTGCATTTTGGTGCATATCCCTCTTTGATAACTTTATATTGTTCTTCCGCTATACTGAATGGTTTTCATGCATAAATTAATACGTACAATATCTCATATAAAAAAAATATTTTTCTTTTAAAAATCAAAATCTTAGAAAATTTTGATGAGAAAAATTTTTGAAGTTATACTTCTTTTGGGGCGTTAGAGAAATAGGATGAGGGTAAATTTTTACAATGCGCGCACACCCCGTCACGGATGTGACTCAGAACAGTCACGGATGCGAAAATCCTTTGTCTATAAATATATAGAACGGGGCAAATCATTCCCGCCTTCGAAATTCTCAGAAAAATATTTCACTCTGAAGAAAGGACACCCGGGTTTGAACCGGGGACCACCCGATCTGCAGTCGAATGCTTTACCACTGAGTTATACAACCGCGTCAGCAAACCTTTGCTTTGTGTTCCGTAGGAACGGATACGAAAATGCTTTGATTAGAAATATGCAAAATGGGACAGATCATTCCCGCCTTCGAATTTCTCAAAAAAAATGTTTCTCTTCACTTCCCTGAAGAAGGAGCATTCGGGTTTGAATCGGGGTACTTCTCGATGCGCAGTCGAATGCTTTACCACTCAGCTAATACCCCCGCGTCAGCGAATCTTTGCTTTGCTTTCCTTAGGAACGGATACGAAAATGCTTTGCCTAGAAATATGAGAAATATGTAGAATGGGACAGATCATTCCCGCCTTCGACACCCTCCCCATATTATTGGTCCTATTGTTCCTCTGAGCGGGGGTGTTTAAATTTATTTAAATCGTGATTATCTCAGGTTTGGCTGGTCCGATTGACTGAAGGTTAGTATCATTCAACTCTGTTCGTGACCACCTTTCGTCCTTGGCCTGCTTTGCCCTGCTAAAGATTTTTAGAAATATTTTAATTTTGTTACGCCAAAGAAGTATAACTTCTTACGTGCGTACTTAAGTACACACACACTTTTTTTAAATATAATTTAGATAAAAATTAAATTCCGGGATTAGTTATTTTAGTCCCGGGATCTGAACAAACACATGGGATTTGAAGGATCCAAGAACTGCAAACCAGACAGTAAATAATTTCAATAAAGCTGTAAAAATTTATGTTAAAATTTAAGATATTTTTAATTTGATAGTGTAATTTCCAATTTAATTTGTGATGATGATTCTTTCTATTAAAGGCCGCTAATAACGAAAGAAATTCTTCATTTGATTTAACGCCGGCAATTTCATGAGACGCATGTGACACATCTACTGATGATAGCATTTTGGATCCAGTTCGTAATAAAACATGCACGCTTGTTATTAAGTAGCGATGAATAATTGTTAGTTAGTAGTGTTTATTGCTAATTTCAATTTGAATTTTTATGTCGTATGTATTTGTGGATTGAATTTGCACTATACACCTATTTTAAAATTTTGTAATAAAAAGAAATTGTTTTTGTTTTATAAATATGTAACATGGATTTATGAGATCATTATTACTTTTTTGTACGATTTTTAGCGAAAAATATATATTGAGTTTTTTCATTTTCCATGATTTTTTAAAGTTGTGAGGAACAGATCCCCAAATTTACCATAAGTGGCATGTATTTCTTGTACCATTTTTTGTATGGTTTTTTAAGGAACATATCTATTCTGTAAAAAAAGTGTTAAGTGTACAGTAATACTTCGACTTACACTACTCCAATTTACACGATTTTCAAATCTCGTCGATTCTTTTTTTCCCCCCATCACTGAACCTCGAATGGAATCAGTGCCAGAGCCTGGTGAAATTGATAATGTAGTAGAAGTTGTCGATCTTGCCAGTAAAATAAATTTAGAAGTGGATAGTGATGATGTTCAAGAACTACTGGATTCTCTCCCACCATCACGAGCTGACAATTAAAGAGCTCATAGAAATGCAAGAGCAAGATTTAGAAGAACTTGAATCTTTAGACCCAGTTCAATTAGAAGATTGAAAGATGGTTGGAAATTTGTCAGAAAGCCCCAGTTTAATTGAAAAAAGTTATACATTTTTTAGAAAATACAGACTCCAATGCACAGCATATTTTTTTTAACAAAACAAGGAATAAAATAATTATTAGCATGCTACGAGAGCTTATTAGCTACAAGAAGATTTTGTGGAAGAAAAAAAAAATCTTTGAACTGGCAGGCTACTTTGTTTGTGTACAGTTCTACATCAAAATAACTTTGGCTTGCGATTTTGTATTTGTGTCATGTATTAATCTATATCTATATCTATCTATTTATCTATATATATATATATATATATATATATATATATATATATATATATATATATATATATATATATATGTATATAGTTAAAAAGGTAGTTAAAGATGCGTTTATGCATATTCAATTTTTTTTAACGGTGGATAATTCTTTTCTTTAAATTTTTTCAAGACTCTTGATTCTTTGGAAAAAGATCTGTAAAGGGGGAAAATTTCGTTTAATTCTTTTTTTTTTTTTTTTGTAATTGTTTTGGGTTTTTTCTGCTTTAAAATTTGCGGAGAAAAGGGGAAAAGTAGTCAGTGGTTTTATCATACCTTCTGGGGTTTTTATATACTTTGAATTTTTGTTTTTTTTTTATTTGGGTTTTCCTACCGAGTTTTAAAAGGGGAAAGGGTGGCGCCTTCAAATATTTAACCCTACTTATTGGTCCTAAGTCCGAAATTGCTTTCTAACTCTCTAGGTTCTTTTGTAATTCCTTTTTGTATTTTTCTATAAATTTCTTTGGCTTTTTTTAGTTTTATTACATTATTTCTTGTCACTCACCACCGGCCACGCCCTATCCTTTCGTTGTTACAGTATAATAGTCCACTCGCCACGACAAAATATACACCACTAAGAGTTTTGTTATATATATATATATATATATATATATATATATTTTTATCCCTAAATTATTATTTTTTGTCTCCATCCTGAACTAAAAATACTTTATATATATTTATATTTGAGACTATATCGCGACTTACGCGGTTATACTTGTTATACTTATAGTTCCACCAATCTCATACGTTCGGAGTATAACTGTTTTTCCCTTTGGGGTTTTTAGGGACCTTTTTTTGGAATTAAAAAAAAATGGACTCAAATTTTGGGGGAACCCTTTTTGGTTAATGCAGTAGTTCCTAAAGTGGTACCTATGGACCCTCAGGGAACCTCGATATTATTCATAAAGTCTGTAAAAAATTAAAATTGATTTGGGGGGTTTTGAACAACGTCAGGGGGTCCGTGCAAGGTTCAATATAAAATAAAATAATCGCCATTTTCTATTTTATGGAAATTTAAAAAAAAATATAACAAAAATTTCACTTAAATTTTCCCCAACGGGGTTTTTAAAAACCCTTTTGCGGGGAGGGGTAACTCAGACCCCAAAAACACAGATGAACCCCTTTACTAATACAGGAGCATTTTATTTAAATGTCCACAAATGAGGGACTTAAACTAGTATTTGAACAAGGATACCACAAATTCTGATTATATCCTGCATTATGGGTTACTGTACAGAAGTTGTTGACTATTTTCCCGTCTTCCAATTTGGTAGAACGTGGATTCAGTGCCATTATTAGCCTCATCACAAAAAAAGAAATAAAAGAAACCGTCTAAAAATTAGTGTAGTGGGGATTTGCAGTTACTACTCACAAACATTAAAATAGGTATAAATACACGCGCATCATATCTCATTAAGTTCTTCGAAGTCATTAATTTTTTTTTATGTTTTAATTTTAGTAAAAGTTATAACTTTAAAAAATTATTCATGAACTAAATTGGTTTTTTTTTTTTTTAATTTTTTTTTTTTCTATGCATTTATGTAGCTTTTTTTATTAGGGGGTTCTTGAGAAAATTTTGACTTGAAAAAGGGGTCCGTGGGTGTTTTGACTATTAAAAGGCGTCCGTGGGCAAGATTTGACTATAAAAAGGGGTCCTTGGCTTAAAAATGTTTGGGATGTGTTCTTCAAATGTTTGTCTAATGTGTACTTTTCCTTCACTTCCGTGAAAATGTAATAAATCTCACTGACTTCTATATAATAACAGATTTCGCATCACATTGTAAGCTCAATAAACCTGATGTCCGAAGTCCATCTTCAGCTTTTAATTGAGTAGGCGTAACGCAGACAGTTATTAAACGCATTCGAAAAGATTTATGCGTTAAATGGGTGGAGTCGAGGTAAATAATAATGATGTTGCAGCTCTGATCAATTCGACATTATGAACTATGTCTTTTAATTAAAACCCATCACTACTCTAATTGGTCTGCTAAATAGCCATTTTAACTTATCGTTTTTTATATGATTACATAGCTTAATCACGTCATAAAATATCTTGTCAAGTTATTTATTACGTTTCGGATGGTAAAAAAACTATATAATTTGTTTTTAAATAAGGTAAAATGTAGATAAAGAGTGATACAGAATTAAAATTATGTTAGGAATTACGTGTTTTTGCATTGAAAATTTATGACTGGTGTTGTATTGAAAAAGAAATAAGTTATGAGATAAAAAAAAGGGGGAGTAATTGGATTTATAAATATTAAATGTATATAATAAAGAAGCTCGTGCAATTAAGATGTTTATCGATGCATTACTACTTGCAGGATAAATTGGGCAAACACGCATGTCGCTGTGTGGGGTTTTTGTTGACGAGCATGAGCAGTTGCGGAACTAATACTTTACTCAAAAAGATGCTTGAATAAAGAAATAATGCCTATCGTTTAATAAATTTATGAGTATTAAAGATTTATTTCCCTAATCACACGATTTTTGAATTAAGAGATTTGAAATTTTAAATTTATTTCACTACACATTATAATTGAGCATCTTTCGCAAAGCTGAAGGAAAAACATATCACTGTTTTTTTTAGGTTATTCCCTAAAAGGTTTTTAAATAATACTAGTAATGTAATTAAATATCTAGATACCCCTGTTTCACTCCCATTTTACAAATAATTTAATATTCATAACAGAGCAAAACAAAAGTCATAGGATGATGAAACTTGTCATAGGTTGATGAGAATGAATTAAATAATTGTTAGTTAATAATATTGGGGTGAAGGGCTTAAAAATAAAACAAAATCTGCATCAAAAAAATTATTAATGTGTTGAATTCAAAAACCTTATTAATATAAGTAAGTGTAAGGAATTTTATTTTGTTACAGTAAAGTCTCTCAAGTTTTATTTTTCTGTTTGTCATTGAATGGTTTGATGAGAAAATTAAGATTTAATGCACCTGAAAACCAAAAATTATCATGAATTATTCCGCAAATCTTTGTATTTGGTATTTTTTAAAAGGACTAGCCAAGTGGTATATATCGGGGTATCTTTCCTTGTCACGAGTTCGAAAAAACTAAAGACCCCGGGGGGCAGGATTCACGTTAAATCTGTCAGATCTGAAACGTCCTCCCGTTGGTGTGGTGTGGTAGTTAGGGGAGGGGGGGGTTTTTTACGTCACTTACCATGGGTTTAAAATTTTTGGTCCGTCGCCAAAATCTCTCGTGTAGCTGAACAGTGCGCCGTTAATATTCA